TGATCTTGGGGTGTGGGGGGGGATGGAGCAGGTTTGTATGCTATGCGTCATGTAGCCCCTGTTTTGGGGGAGATCTCACATGGTGCCGACTTCTGGAAGATGCCGCCTTCATATTACATGACTGGTCCATAACAGGCTCACTTGCGACACCATTTGCATGACGCTCTGTGGCCGATTTTAAGCATCGCCCTACATACTCTTCTGGAACATTCCACCCATTTTCAGGCCACCTGTGACATTCTGCATTACTGGGACGATTAGCAGCTCCTCAGCGAAAAGCCCCCCTGTGAGAACCTGAGGCAATATTAGAGGGATTTGGGGTTGAGGCAAAAGGGCTTTGCAGCACTCAGGTTTACTGCAATGTTGACCTCCCGCCAGCAGAGGGGGCCATGCTTCTGTGGCCCTCCGTTGCAGTGGAAGCCCCCAAAGTCCCAATGCCCCCCCCGGTCATGATGCAGACCCACCCTGACACCCCGCTGTTCCTGATGGCCTCCCGGTTTTGACACGTGTGGAGGCTTATTGTTCTATTTCATTACACTCCCTAATAAACAGCCTGTGGAGTTAACCACGTTTCTGGCGACAGCAGGGCGCTGATATCTCTGCAGGACACCCTGCACACACAACCCACACAGCCCCCGCATGCCCACACAACCATACGCCCACACAGCCATACGCCCACACAACCATACGCCCACACAGCCCCCGCATGCCCACACAACCATACGCCCACACAGCCATACGCCCACACAACCCACACAGCCACACAGCCATACGCCCATACAGCCATACGCCCATACAACCCACACAGCCACACAGCCATACGCCCATACAACCCACACAGCCACACAGCCATACGCCCATACAGCCATACGCCCACACAACCCACACAGCCCCCGCATGCCCACACAACCATACGCCCACACAGCCATACGCCCACACAACCCACACAGCCACACAGCCATACGCCCATACAGCCATACGCCCACACAACCCACACAGCCCCCGCATGCCCACACAACCATACGCCCACACAGCCATACGCCCACACAACCCACACAGCCACACAGCCATACGCCCACACAGCCATACGCCCACACAACCCACACAGCCACACAGCCA